CGCTCTGCTTCAGACGTGAATCGTCACACCGATGCTCAGAGAACAGCTTCGGCGCTCCTGCAGGCGGTGAAGAACTGATCTGGGTTCAGTGTTTTCAGCCCTGAAAAACAACGAAGAAGCTTCCTGAAACGTTTCACTCAGGTGTGGATCAGCTGACGGAGGGGTGACACCACGGCGACAAACCCATAAGAAAGAAGAAAGGGAAACAGGAAGCAGGCGGGTGCTCTGTGACAATCCTTTTTTAGTTGGAATACATTTTATTTTTATTATAAGTACAGTTCAGTAGTTACAAAACGAAGCATCTGCCATGAGGATACAGCAAACAGAAAAGTGTGGAGCTCACAAGACAGGTTTGTACATCATACGTGGGGTGGAATGATCATCGGAGCTGGTTCAGAGATGAATCTTTACACGGCTGGAAAACAGAGAGCAAGGTCGGAGGTCGCTTCCGAAGCGCCTCGAGCATTTCCTCCTTGCGTCTCACTCTCACTAGTTTGATTTCCTCTGTTTTCAAAGATTACTGCCATCTACATAAATCAAAGAAACAAAAACGGGAGGATATACTGCAGAGAACGATCAGCCGGGCTCAAGCAGCAGCAGGCCTACGCTGAGGGTCGGGAGGGGTCAGGGGTCAGCATACAAAAGAAGCCACGAACAGTAACTAAAAAAGAAGTCTTATAGTTGGACTGTACATACCGCTTTAGACTTTTCTCTGGGTTCACAAAAAATGACGTAGAAACATTTCACAATGCCAAGGGACACACAAACACACACCTTCATTTAGTTAGTTAGCTAGTTTGTACTGTATAGGTTGGATTTATAATACTGTCACAGTGCAAAATACTCGGGAGATCGAAACGAATCAAAGAAAGAAGAAAGGACGAGTCCCTCTATGCATAATGATTCTGTATATACGGGGAGGGGGCGGGGCAAATATGTCTGCAGCACAGGAGACGATTGTCATCTTTTTCCTCTTTTTTTCTCATCGGTAAATGGACAAGGCATTATTCATGTACAGTACATATGAAGATCCAAAGAAAATCAACCCTACGCCTACGGTCGAGCACAGCTACGGAGCTTTGAAGCAGTAACGGGGACGTGTTTCTAAGGCTATACACAATAAGCATTTTCCAGTTTTTCTTTTTTTCCTCGTAAAGTAAATACATCGAAGCGTCGTCTTCAGTAGTCGGTAACACTGTGCAACAAAGATGGTGGCAGTATTTTACACACGGCCGCAGCTCCACAGGACGCGGCGCTTGAAAACGCCGCCCGCTTCTCAAACGGTTGCCTCTTGCCGTCGCTCTCTCGAGACGACGGCGGCGGCGACGGCAGCGGCGACAACAGTACGGTACAGAAAAACAGACGGAGGCGGAAGGAGGGGCTGAACCTGTACGCGCGCATCATCCTTGCGCCACCGTCGCCGGGAGGCGTGGCCTGCGGGCAGCCACTCCTCTGCATGGCGGGAATGTGCAGATTTAAAGTTTACACCTTAAAAAAGGACACAGCGTCTCTAAGCTGAGGAATGTTTCAGGGACACTTACAGGAAGTGCTAACAGGTAGTTTCATCCAAAGAAAACAAGGAGAAGAAGAAGAGAAGACGGGGTCGGGGGGTGGGGAGGGCGCTCAGAGCGCCAGAGACAAACAGGAAGTCCACTGCGTTAGTGTCCGGGAGGCTGTGAGAGTCATTAGGTCCACGTGGCGCCGCTCTGACGGTAGTTTGTGTTTTCTCATCTTAAATAAAGTCTCTGATATAGTGTGTCCTTCGTTAACCTTCATCCTCCTCATCACCGCCTCCATCCTCAGCGTCCGCTCGCTCCGCCGCGGCCGTTACTCTTTGTTTACAGCGTGGGCGTCGCCTACATTATGGTTGTTAGGGTGGTTGTTAAGGTCGCTGTTAAGATGGTTGGGGTCGAGGGTCAGCGTGGGGTCATGGGTCATGGGCTGGTCCTCCTCTCCTACCCACAGATGCACTACGGCCAATGAGAGAACAAGAGGCAGGTTAGCACCACGGACCCGCACACACACACACAAAGAGGTTTCATATGTTTGTGGGGAGGTCGTTGACATAATGCTTTATGGCCCCCAACCCTAACCCCAGCTGTAACCCCAACTGTAACCCCAGCTGTAGCCCCAACCCTAACCCCAACTGTAACCCCAGCTGTAACCC